CACGCCCATTCTTGTAGGTGTATCGTGCGTGACAACGCCCCTATCAATCTCCTCCTATCAAATCTGATCGGCGCATGTCAGTACTCCTGACGTGCATCATCATTAATCCCAAGCTTAATGATGGAAATTCATCGAATCCTGAACATGGCGTCACCTTTGTCGTTTACCATATCACAATTTGACGACTGAGATTGGTTGACCATCGTGAACACGCCATCCATTTAACATATTGATGGGATTTCAAATTGGACATCTCTGATCAGACGTCCTTTCTAATGCCATATTCCCATATAAATATAAGAGTTGTCTTCCAATTTTCCATTTCTCTACATTCTCATCTCTGCAAATCCTTGTACTTGAAAATTCCAAGAAACTTCATCTTCGACGAACAATCAACTCAAGGTAGCTGCCTTCCACCACCGCAAGCATGTCTTTCTTTGGTAAGTAATCATTTTTAATCCCATAAACTTTATTCACATATCACCATTGATGACTCCCTAGTGTATTAATACGGTGCACCTTAATGTCGCTAGAACACCTCCTCCGTCCAACGAACTCGAACTCACAGTCCCCTTCAAACTCAGAACCCTAAGGCGAGCCAACGGTGACCATAGCACCCACAGGGATGGCGACCTCGCCATCGACCACTTGCGCTAACAAAGGCAAATATGTCGTTCCTACTGTTAGATCTATCCAACCTAATTCCCTTACCTCGTACTCCATTAATAGGAGAGCTAAATTTCTGAAGAAATTGAACTTTGTCAAGTATGGACCCTTAAGGTTCCCCGTGCTGGGAACACCTATACCTATTCGCCACCAGACTTTCAAATCTTCTTTCATGACCCGATCGCCGCCAGGTTTAAGTTTCCTCTCCATAACGACCTGGTAGAACTTAGCAAACTATATCTTCTACCCGTGAACCATTTCTCGCTGAACGCCATTAGGCTTCTCATAAGGTTCATAATGGTACGCCGAGCTAGACTAGGTCAGCTAGACCCATAGCCTTTTTTTCTACTACCTTTGGATGAAACCCTTCGGCAAGTCATATTACATGTCTACCCACCATAATGCCGCTTCCTTGGGCAACCAAAATCCAAAATTCACAACTGAAAATACAAATTTTACTATATTCGTCCTCCTCGCAAAACATTCGACTTTGCACCCGAATTGATTCATCAGCTCCCTAGCCAACACTCTAATCCACGAACCATGTCGAAGGATGCTGTCATCGCCCAATGGAACCAATGACCATTTCAAGTAGTGCTGTTCACCTCTGACGCTCGTCTTCTTAAACATTTTAACTTATCCAATAACCAGGCCAAGGTCGTGGTAGACCTTCGGTAGGAGTTCGCCCTAACGGACTAATCTCCAATTTTATTTACATAGAGTTATGTGTTAATCTTTCCGTTATGCTGCAGAAATCACGTTCAGCTGGGCACTCGCCACCGCGCCCGCCGATAACTCCACGTAGCCGACCAGACCGACAACACCGGTCATAGGCTCGACACCTGCCCCCACCGCTCAATCAACCCCCGGTCATCGACCAGACAACTCCCGGTACAAGGGAAAGACGTGCCACGGCTGAACAGGCTTTCCAGAAGCCTCCCAGGTCCTCGAAACGCAAGTGATCGAAGGGAGGCGGAACGCCCCCAAGAAGAACAAGTTGGCAGGCCTAGAGGAGGCTTGTCCTAAAAACGTCCTGGAGATGTCGCAAAAATTTGCTTGTAATCCAGACGTCAGCTCGGCCGTCGCCTACCTCCTTTATATCTTCCAAGAGAGGGAAACCACCCGCTGTGAAGATACCTAGACCCGAGCCTCCATGACATGCTACAACTTGGTGAAGGTAAAACTACTTCTATGTATGTCGTGAATATTTTTGTTCAATAACTGACCATAACCCCTCGCCCCTTTGTAGGCTCTGCTCGGACTCGCTCATATTCTGCACGAGCAGATAGAGGGCACATCTGAGGTGGAAGCCCTACAGGACGACCTCAACAGTGCTCGAGCTGGCCAGAGGCGTTTGATTGCCAAAAAGAAGAGACAGACCATCTAGCTGCCCAGCTCCACTCCAAAGAGACCGAGACGACCGAGTTTAACGAAAAACTGGCGATGAAGGAGGCCGATCTCGGGTCCCTCAAGCTATCCATGGACCAGCGCATCATTCAGGCCCGCGAGGATGGCGAGATTTCCTTTATTTTCTTGGTCCATGGGGCCCGCTTCCTGGAGCATTATCGGGTCGAACTGCTTAAGTATTACGACCTCACTACCTATTATCTTATCAAGCTCGTTCTTGCA